TCGGTCACCATTTCCTGAATTCAAATCAACGCAGCAACTGCATGCGCCTCGGAGGGCAGGCAGCACTATGGAATGCTTCCTGGTTACAACAGGGGAGGATGAGGCAAAAGAGTCACACATGCCACAGTATGAAAGGGCTAAATAGCTATGTAGGAATGCCGGGAGGGACAGTGCCTTGCAAGGCGCAGATATGTAAGTCAGAGTTTTGAGAGACTGGGCCCCTCACCCTATCCAGACGAAATACAGTCGGACCCAACCGACACTTGACCGTGTGGCACAGGTCTTCTCCAGGGAACTCGCCCCTGTGCTCCTTGGGCAATTCTCCCCCCCTAAAAGTCATGTGCACTTCAAAGATTGTCAACGGCAGCATCCAGGGCTTGCGCGAGGAGGAACTCCCAGGCCTCTGCTCAGAATGTACATCTCGCTTAAAGACGTGTTCTAGGTGTCCATGCACTCCAGTCGCTTTGCTGACACAGAGCCTTGTTCTCATAGGCGACGGGGCAGAGGGAGCGGGGCGCAGTAGCAACCCAGCTCGGGTGCCTGTCAAGCTGGGGTCACCGTCCTGTCCAGCCAACACCGCAGCAGCTGCTGCAGCCTCTGCCGCCGCAGTTGTTGCAGCCGCCACAGGAGCTGATGAAAACAATTGATGGGAGAGTCCGAATAGAACTGTGCATGTGCGCAATTAAACGAGAAACACGGAAAGGCTTTTCCATTGAGTCCATCCTGTTTAACCGCCATGCGCCGCAGAACTGAGGGACCTGACTTTCAGATTATGGAAGTGCTTCCTTAGTGTGTTGTAGGCTGATAACTCACGCGCTTCAACGTTTTCGTCCCCGCAGAAAAACTTGCGTTCATTGCTCTGCCAGTATACCGCCAAACTGACCAGTAGGCCCTGCGTACCAAAGGGCACAAGTGTACGGTCGACATGCCTCATCAACTCAACAAGCAGCAGTGAGCTCTATGATTGCTCCGCCAAAAGAGCAAATACAGAAAACAGCCCACTGCCCACTTCCGTAAAGAGCCCTGTTTGTGTGTTCCTGACTGCAGAATTTGGCAGGTGTACACAAACCTTTTTCAGTTCGGATGCTGTAATTGTGTCCTTTATTTCTCCAGTGAACTCGTCCTCAAAGTTTTCGTCCGATGGTGCAGTAGGCAGGAGCAGTGGCCCTTGGTGAGGGTCCTGCAGGTCATCAACTGGGGTGTCTGTTTGAGTCGTTGCAAAAGCTGCTCTGGCTGCTGCTACACCAGCCGCAGTTACAGCTGCGTGGTCCAGCAACAGGTACGGAAGAACGATACCGCACGAGAATGGAGCAGGTGCAGTCAATAAGGAAACGCTGCCATGGTGCTCAAAGCGAATGTGAACGTTGGATAGTTGAATCTTCAGTTTGTTTAGAAGCATTTGCTGCAAGTTATTGCGAATATAGGCCTGCATGCCTCCTGTGCTTGTGGTATTCTGGTCTGTCTGGTCTGCATCATGGAAGCTGGGGGCTCGTACGGGAGCGTTCTTTACCGTTCCATTGCGCTCCCTCTCTCTTATCATAGCAGAAGTTACTGCATTTAACCGCCGCCCGCGCTCCTGTGCGTAGGAAGCCTTAACAGAAGCCACACTCCACGTATCATGCTCTTGTGGGACAAGAAGCAGAAGAACGGAGTTTAGAGATACAATAACTGGGAGCTGCGAAAACAATGGCGGGATAGACACACTAATCCTGCCAACAGTTCCATGAGCAACGGTATACGGAAATCCTAGTTCAGAGAGCATTGTCGACTTAAATTTCACGTTGGTATACAAAACTTCCTCTCCCTCGCCTTTGTATGCTTCCTCCCTGTCCGCCTGCCCTCCAATAGTTCCATGGGACACACCGCCGAGATCACTATCCGACTCTCCGTAAACACGATTCGGCCGAGCAGTAATGGATTCATTATGGGGCACACCCAGAATAGGAAAATTTGAGGCTTTCTCATCGCTGTTCTGTGCTTGGGGGGACCTTATATCTGGAGCAGTGCTAACTTCTTCACGTTCAAATGAATCAACAAATGGAGAGAGAAAGGACTCAATGGAAGCGTCAAGGAAGCGCCGCACTTGCCATTGAAACATCTTCTAATAGGATTCTAGCCTTCCTTAAAATTTGTGGCCACGACCCAGGCAGTCCCCTGCACCTTTCGCCACTTCAGGCTGTTCTCACTGGTACGCAGACTTTGCCCGTAGATATAAAATCGCCTTGGCACCACGTCAGAATTCGACAGAGTTCTCGAGCCGCAGCGTGTTCTATACTGCTCTCTGTTGCAAGGTACGAGCTCTCTTCTCTGGTGAGCTATCGGAGCTTTTTTCAAGAGCCCTTCAGTCCAATCTGTAGATAAAGCCTTCTGCACCAGTCCTGATACCCGCATGCCAATCCCATCAAAAAATCCCAGACAGCCACCCTGAGTCAAAATAGCCCTTGAAAGCCCCAGTGGTAGGTGGTCCGCAGGAAAATGCCGGGCCGAGTGTTCTAGCAGTCACTCCAACGGTCACTGTACTTGCCAGCACTGCCTCTGAGCTTCAGCCACAGCGGCAAGCGTACGAAAGTTGTGCCACAAGGAAATAACGGCTCGATTATACACTCAGGAAAATTTTAACACTCTATTGAATTGAAAGATTACCCTCTGTGCACGCACTTGCCAGAAAAGGGACTAGCACCTTTGCTAGTCGACTTCCCAGTCCGGTGGTCCAGTGCCGATACTCTAGCCTTATTGCCCTGTTTAGGATACATTAGGGGCAAGGCTAATTCTCATTCATATTTCAGTTTAAGACGCATTATTCTTTTATCATACTTTCCCTCTTCGGATGATCACAATGCATTGAGGCTCAGTGAAATGCGGCGTATAATCGCTATTCTCTGGCCAATCGTTTTTCAGTACACTCACCCTCCTAGAGGAAAAACTACTTTTCGCCTTTGGAATTGCATTGCAAATGTGATGAAGTTATTTATATCTATCAAGAGAAACGGCTTGTATATGCCAGTTGTGTAGTTGCCTTGCTTTTGCTTAGTCCGCCCTTTCTGTGTTTACACACTATCCTCCAGCAGCCACGAACCGCGCTGTGACCACCTCAGCCCTAGAAGATCCTACTTTGTTTGTTTCTCCCCGCATCTTTCTAAGGGAAGTCGAAAATTCTTTTTCCTGTTCATCTTCCGGCTTTGCCTGCCTCTAAAACCTACTGCACCATAGTTACCCTTTTTTAACCTTTTCCACAGCATTGCCTCCCCAATCTAACTTCGTTCAAGATGTTCACGTGCATAGAATTGGGGTAATGCCACTTTAAAAGTAATAGCTGAATTTTCAAAACTAGAGGTCTCTCAGTTGAACCGAAGAGCATTGTGTCTATAGGCATGCACTTAAGTGGACCTACCCATAGGTGGGCAGTCCCTACTGCACAACTTGGACCTTATCAAACTTCAATATCGGATTATCCGTACACTACAGCGAGGTGAACCTTCGAATGCCGTGAATTAAAGTCACTACAAAAGTCATGCTGCGTGCACGTGCCTAAGTTGCCATGCGGAAGTGGGACTTAATGGAGTACTTGAAGGGTGCGGAAGCGCGCTCTTCAACTGTCTTCTCTCCACTTAAGGCCATCTATGTGTACTGGAAAAGGCGGAGAGGGAAGCACGTAAGAAAAGAAAACTGGATATTCGCGTGAGCTGTTCAAAAACGGATTTTGATGCTGAGAAACTAATTAAATAGAACATCGGAGATTTAGAGATGCGTGTTCGAATGGAAAACACCACTCCTAACTTGCTGCTTGCGGACTCCCAGGTGCCTAGAGGTGTAGCACCGGAATAGTCCGACTGGGGAGTGCCTAATAGAAAGGACCCACACTTGCACCAGAAAAACTCCCCCAAACCGTACCACTCAAGAAAAGACACTACAGTGAGTGTTCGATGTAGCCAATAAACAACTTACTGCCGATCAGTAAGCTCCACTTCAGCAGTAAGCTCTAGATTGGTGAAATATCGTCCTCCACTGCGGCCACATGGCTAGGGCGAATACAGGTATAAACGCTGAGGTTAGCGGGAAAACCAGACAAATTTGTAGCACCAGCTAAGCATGGCACTTGCACAAATTTGCTCTTACTAACAAACTATGTGGTTCTCAAGCTTCTGAGCTGCGTCTCGATGCAAGCCATTTGTGCAATAAGAAGTGGTCTCGCTGCGGAGAGCGACTAGAGTACTACCAATGTGAACCGTCGTGTCAAAACTGGCCTTTTATTCGGCAGCAGGGACGTAACTGCATGTCCCGGGCATGAAATTTCGCTAATTTGTTCTTTGACTGAGCGGCCCTCCGAATCTGACTACCTTACGGTTGTTAGAGCAATACGTACAGCTGCACATAGCACTCCTACACAGAAAATGTGCAGAACGTATGTCCAGTGTGCTTTCCAACCATATCACACTCCTAGAGCTTGGGCATATGTTCCAATGCGAAGCTTTTAACCGCTGATTAGTGGCTAAACTCTTGAGACACGTCAAGCTCTCTTCCTACTCATATCCCACCTAAAGAAATGCGCATGGCTCTCTTAGAATGTCTTATGGGGGATTACAACGCTGAATCCCGGATGCCAACACTACATCTGTGCCACTATTACATGAAAAGGGCATCAAAGAAGTCAAATTAAGACATGGGATTGTTCGAGAGCAGCTCTTGTCTTGTGGCTACAAGCCACTGCTAGCCGCGCTCCCGAGTCCCCATCACCAGCCAACAGTCACACCTGAGGTGCAAGAGGTGAATCTGCATGCCACGCGCGCAGAGCTACCTCAGGCCATGCGAAAACCAGGCCCTCCAATATGGAGCTCGTGGGGGCGCTGATAGATGAGAACCAGCAAAGCAGAGGTACCGCTAACCACAGGGGATAGCCGTAAAGGCAGAAGCGAACAAGGGGATCTCTAGGATAAACTCGGCCTCCGCTTGCATGGAAAGTACCTTCAGCCATTCAAGAGGCAACGTACAGAGCGGGCGTGTCATGCTCCTGCTGCCATGTGCTGCAGCTGCTGCGCCTGTGCTGCGGCTTGCTGGGCCTCCATGAACTGTTGTTGCATTTCAAACATCTGGCACTCACGTTCGTAATAGAAAATTACGGGGGCAACCAGACAAATTGCGCCAGTGGCTGCCATCCACGCAATATTTGAACTTAACCAGTACCCAGTATTCCACAACCGCCGAAGCCGACGACCGGCGCGGGCAGCTGGCCCCTCGCCCAAATCCCTGGAGAGCACTGCACCCATGTTTGAAAGAGCCGACCTACTGAAGACGTTCCGTGAAAGAGAGTTGGTGTATGCGAGGGATTATCAGATTTCAGACACTCAATCCATTGAAGGGCAAGACCAAAGGAAACGTGCTGCACGCATGCAGGATCCGGCAAGGTCGAGAGCTTGACCTCCGCGGTTCGCTCAAGTGCTGCAGTTTGTAGCCACAAGCTTGCCGCCGGTCCGCGCTCCGGCGCAGGGTATTTGTGAGGGGGCCTACGGTGTGGAGTGCAGACATACACCGGAGAGAACCATGGAGTAAGAGGGCTGATGAGCGGAAGTAAGAGCCAAGTGCCTTGAAGTCCCCGGAGAGATTCAGGCCAACAAAATCCCACCCTTCTATATGTAATATGAAGTACGGGTATGCGAAGGAAAAGGTGCTTTCGGAGAAACCTGAATCGCATGCAGCAGCTAGCCCCACAGCCCCCCTACAGGAAAGTTACTGCGGATATTGGGTGACTAACCAAATTAGCTTTCTTCATTGCGTTTATGCGAAATCTGCTGTTGTATTCCTTCCTCGTTTCAGTGGCGATGCAGATGCACTAAGTTAAGGCTGCAATGCGCAAGGCAGTTTGCAGCCCTCTCCTTTTCGTAGAATCCGATGACTTCCTTGCTGTCTGACTGACTAACTCAGCGAAGGCCAAGGGCTTTGACTCGGTTTTCCATTACGAGCGAGGCACGTCTGCAGCCAGGCCTATATGCGACTCGCGCTCCGACCCCATCCAAGCCCCAGCTGCCTCGTGCTCAAGTCATAGCCGCCCAACGTGCTCACCATGGGAAGAGGCCCCCGCCGCAAGGAGGCTTCTCGAAATCCGGCGGAGGAGCCCGCTGAGGCTAGCGGCATTTGGCAGAATGGAGTGCAGCGCTACAGTGCCGCCTTTGAGTCCTTCTATAGGGAGCAGCGGATAGTGCCTGATGGTAGGTCAGTCCCCTTGCAGCCGCTGTAATGCGCATAATTGCCTTCCCTCTGAGCACAGGGCTTCTCGGTGTCTGGAAGCATTTCTTTTCGTAAGCACACATTGCAACTAATGGAATACGGAGTCACCCGATGAATGCGACGTGTGCTGCAGAGGCGTGGGACCTCTTCATGGAATCTCTTCAATCGAGCCTCCCCACGGCTTTCAGAATAGTGACTGTGACACCACACCGCCACTATGTACATAAGTTTCTACAGGAGACACTCGCAAGGTGCGTTATTCCATTGCTAGGTGCCTGTGGTAGCGGCTTCTGCCACTTCCACCTCTTCCTCCCCTTCCCCTTTTCCCGTTCGGTAGTTGCAAGAGCCCCCGCTCCAATCCATGCCTACTTTTTCGGTCCAAACTTGGCATACGACACCTCCAAAAATATGCGCTGCCTTCCCGGGTAACGTGTGCTGCATCAAAGTCTGCAGGACCCCACATCTGCCAATGCTGCGGATGGGGCTGAGGGACGCCAGACAGATTTTCGAGAGGCCTTGAAGGCACTAGAGTGGTACAAGAGCGGCAAAGAGGCTTTCCAGCTGGAGGTTTCCCGGCACGTTTTGCGGACGTGCAAGCCCCTCTTGTAGGTGCTGTTGAGCGGCGCTGATGTTAATGTGGAAGCCCCCAGACATCTTTTGCGTGCACGTGCAGCTCAAATCCGGAGGGGAACATCTGCGCATGTTTTCAGGAGCTTTCACAAATTTTTAGTAGCTCAGTCAGAAGCCGCAACGATTTACCGGCAGGAAGCTGTCTCTATGATCCCTGCACTCTTTCTTGAAAAGGAAATGCGGGTGGGTTCTTGCCCGTAGTTGCTCAATTCTCCATTCCCTGTCCAGCTTGACGAGCAGCCACCGCAATTACGTGCTTCAGTGCAAGCCCGAGCTCCCCGCCACTCCGCAACAATCAAAGCGGCGTCATTCTGTCTCAGTCTTCGCACAGTGCCGTCCAGTGAAGTCCTTTCTCCCTGCCTGCCTTTGATCTTGCAGCCAGCCCTGCCTCTGTGGCATGATTCCTTATGCGCGTTGCACTGGTGTCTGCTGCAGAGTGATTCGCTAGTCCTGGATATGTGTGCCGCTCCAGGCTCCAAAACCTCCCAACTTCTCGAGGCTCTCCACCGGGCGGCTGAACACGAGAAACGATGTCGCCGCATACAGGAGAAACGAGGAACTGAAATGGAGGAAGATGGATGGCCTGCACTTCCAAGTAAGAAGCCTATTTAGTGTGTGCATGCTGCAAAGCACGAACTCATCCTTTAGGGCTTCGAGATACGGAAGATGAGGAGGGGTTGTTTAAGGGGCAGACCAGAAAAACGCGAGAATGCTGACACTGGCCCTAGTTCGGCGGGTATAAGGAGGGCTGCTGCTGCAGCGGGACTGCTGGTTTGCTCCGTATCTATTTCCGAAGACGTGTGCGTCACGTTGCATGCGCACGCCGCAGCTGGCGCCGTTGTAGCCAACGACGCAGATGTCACGCGTTCTCACATGTGCGTCAGCTAAACTCAACACGCAGCCCCTTGATTACTCCAACGCAGAGCTCTTGTCGCAGCATCACTTGTAGCATCATCATCACCACCCGTCGAGGCACTAGCAGCAATTACAGCAGCAACCGCACTCCGTCTTTACTATCGTCTGATGCGGTGCGCTGGCTCGTGATCTGCCGAATGCAGGCTGGTTCATCACCTACGCCATCTTCATTCGCCCTGTCTTCTTGTCACGTCGCACGCTGCCCAGTTTTTTCCGACGGTCTTTGAACCTCCCAGAGTTCAGCCGGCTGCAGCAGCAGGGGCCCCCTACGGCGTTTCTGTGGCTGCGGAGAGCGACGAGGCGGCTGCCACACGACTTTCACCCGTTCAATTCGACGGGGTGTTGTGCGACGTGCCATGCTCTGGAGATGGAACAATGCGAAAGAACGCAGCCTTATGGGCAGCATGGAGCCCACACCAGGGACTAGGCTGTCATCGGCTGCAGGTGCAGATTCTACTCAGGTGAGAAGCGAGTCAGCTTCTACGGTGCACGCTACATGTGCGAGATGTTGTCACCGCCTCATGTTGTATTGCAGCTTCGCATGAATGCATGGCCCGTGTAGACTCTTCAGTGCCCCGGCAGACGCCTGGTTTCCAGTGTACGTATATACACCGGGCTGGAGGAGACTGCGGAAACTGCCCTAGGTAAAGCTTGTGCTTTGCCGCCGCAAGTGGGTTCTATGTACAGGGGCATCAAAGTGTGCAAAGTCGGAGGCCGCATAGTTTACAGCACCTGCACGTTTAATCCAATAGAAAATGAAGCCGTCGTCCATGCAGCCATGGTAAGGCAGAAAGCACGGCGACAGAAAACGAACCGAAAATAGCAGACCATCACGAATATAGTCTCACCAAACCAACTGGAGTGCTAGGGGGACCCCAGGGCACCCCTCTCTTTGGGTGACGCTTCCTCCCATTGATTCACAGCGCATCAAAAACTGATGCCCACGTTCGCTACGTGCGCTTGTGTGCCTTGGCATCGTCCGAGTCCTAGCGTTGTGCAAGCATAGTGGTTAAAACTGCAGGCGCAACGAAAGGGGAGCAAGCGCCAGACACCGATGCGCTTCGCGGCATGCTACGCATCTGCAAAGTTTGTAGCGTGCCGGTTGCTTATAAATGTTTGTGTCCTTCATTTCCGAGAGTAGAGGCGTTTGTATGGAGGTTCTTGGAGGGCTATGCGGTTTCTGCCTGCAGACGATGTCGAGGGGAGCTGTGGAGCTCGAAGACTGTACAGAGGATCTTCCAGCCCTTAAAAGGAGCCCAGGATTGAGCAGCTGTACGTCTGACTCTGCTTGCGTAGTCGATTTTGTGCCTTGCACACACGCAGAAGTGTGAGGCTCTCCTCAGAAAGAGATAGACCGCCGGTAACCAGCAGTCTATCTCTTTCTGCGTTGCTATTCCCCGATCCCGCCGGCGACTCCTCTGCAGCCGCATCCTTTGTCTCCCCTCCTGCCTCCCTAAATAATGGCTATGGCGAAGGCAACACTGAGGCGCTGCTGCCCCTCTGTCTTGGCGCTTTCCTCGGCTCAGGGCGCGTAGAGTGGGAAGGCCGGTGGTATGACTCGTTTGACAACGTGCCTAAGACAGCCAGAGCCGCCAAGAAACTGAGGCCATCCATGTTTCCTCCAAGCGATGGATCGGGGTCGTCTCCAGCGGTGCCACTCCACCGCTGCATGCGTTTCCTCCCTCACGTGAATAACACAGGTCAGTCGTCAATGGCGGCATGGGCATAGCTTCTGCCAGAGGACAGCACCTTGCACAATTCTGTCCTCCAGACCTAACTATTCCCTTTCCTAGCTGCAGGACCCTTGACATGCACCCAACATCTCCGTCTAAGTAGTCATTTTTCCCGACCGCATGGCGGCCAGTCCGGAGTGGCCAATTTTTATTCGCCGCTGTGGGCTTGATGCGCATCTCAGGCGGCTTTTTTGTCGCTGTGTTGCGCAAAGTTCGCGAGGTGTGTCTGACTCCGCTCTCGTGCCCCCCGAGCGCTAGCGGATGCTCTCAGGCAGCGAGTTTAAATGACTTCCCCGAGGCCGGGGGGGGCGGCCTCAAAGAGGTTGCATATGCTGGGATTCAAGATGCTGCAGACGCATGCACGGACGCACTTGCTGAGAGCGTTTCGGAGGCGAGGGCGCGAAGACCATTCGATAAGATGCAACTTGATATGGTTGGCCTCGATTGGCAGCCTGAAGCGTTGCAGCGGCAGCATCAACAGCTGCTCCAACAGGAGGAATGCTCCAGGAGCTCAGGAGAGCGACCTGCTGGGGATCCAGACGGATCGGGGAATTCAACTGCGGGCATAGCGGCGGCATGTGTACCGGCGTCCCATGCCAGCCAGCGGCCGTTCACAGGAATGTCTATCGCCGTCACACGTGACATTTTAGAGAAGGCACTACGGTCAGTGCTTTCTACTTTGGACCTTTCTGAGGATTTGTTGAACCCGTATAAATCAAAATGTGCCGTGCGCGAGGTGCTGCTTCGTCTAAGCTCCCTAGTGTATTTTCGCCGAATGACGTCGGAGTCTCCAGGCGCTTCTGGCGGAGAGCCCGCGGAGACAGGAGACCTTCCCAGCGAAGAGTCGCGAGACAGGCAGCCCAGACGGCTCTTCTTTGTGTCTGAAGGCGTCAAACGGCTGGTGGAGGCTGTCGGGGCCTCTCGCTATAAAATTATAAATGGCGGCTGCTTGGCCTTCCAGGCGCGAACCAAGGGAGTCTACCGCATTGCGTATGGTGGAGCACAGTGGCTGGCGCCATTCTACGAGGCAGTGATGCGTCTCACTACTGAGCCGGCTGAAGCTGTTGCAGCTGGTGCAGCCACTGTCAAAGAGCAGGCGGGCACGCTGAAAACCCTCCTCGGAGTCTCTGCTCAGGTAGAAGGCCGCCGCGTCTTCCACATCCCAGGGGGACTGCTTTACAAATTGACAGCAACGGAGCAGGCGGATCGGCGGGTGCCTCTTTGTGCGATTGAAGAAGCTCGCTTTGGCCAGACTCTCGTGCAGGCCTCTCGTGAAGGTTCTCTACTGTTGCTGGCACGACTCCCTCACCACGCACCTGAAGCTGCTGGCAGCACCTTCAGCAACGTGGCGGTAAGGCGTGGGGCCATGGGCTTGCTAGAGTTGTCGTGTTCGGAAGTCGTGGGGGGAAGCAGAGAAGCTAAATTGTTCCCGTATTCGAGGGGACCGCGAGGTGTATGGGTGTATGGGATAGCGCTATGTCATTGCAGCTACAAATCTCAACTTCGTGGCGTTGCTATAGTGGTGTGCGATGGACTGCTACAGGTGCCAGCGTGGAGAGGGCGCACCAACGTGGAACTGATGCTTGACCCGAATACACGATGGGCGCTGAAGTGTCTCTTGAACGCCTGCGGGTTTGGACATGAAACATCTATTTGTGACAAAGCATGACGCATGGCCTGCACAGGTGCAGCAACAACGGCAAGAAGAGGGAGATAGATAGGCAAATACTTAATATAGCTGTTTGTGACGCACGTCACACACTGTACGTCTTAGGCCAAGCATTTTCGCATTGTTCCTTGCCTTACCTTAAGTCGAATTGCACGTACACGATGAATTGTTTTTGCAAGCAGAGGCCGCGTATGTGTGCTTGTGGTGGGAGCACCTATATTTGCAGACCGGCACTCGAAAGTACAATGGAGTCAGCTTTTTATTGTAGGTATTTGCTGTAACTCTTCCAAGGTTCATCAAACGAGGAGGCAATATCAGTCCGAGTCCCTGTAGGATGTCTTGTGTCCTGCCAATAGGTGGCAGCTTTCAGCTAGTGCTGCATGAGCGCGAGAATCTGTGACTTTCTACATCCACAAAAGCTTAGAGCAGGCAAGTTCCACTCAGTGTTTGACACAACGGCGTATTCTGGGCATTGAAGCGGCTGCAAAGGGCCACACCGTAGGCACCTAAAGTTACATCGTAGGGACGCAAACAGGAGCAAGTTCTGTGGCGGGCCGCGAGTGCTCATGGGGCTAGGCAATCGAAGATTGACTCAATCACAGGATGCATGCCTATGTCATCGCGCCTTGCCGCATGCTAGCGTAGGTCCTTGAGGAGTGATCCTAGGTTGGGTCTCGTCAGTTCAGATGAAGCAGCAGCTGTGTGAATGTAGACGTAAGGATAGATAAGGGAAAGGTTTTAGGGAGTCATGCTGTGGGAGGCCCTATCCCGTCACGCGCTTTTCCATGGGTGGAAGCGCGCGAAGCTAGGGGGGGGGGGGGCTGGTACAAGCATACTTAGAACATAATGATCTCGAGCGTGGGGCCACATGTGAACCCTCTAAGCTCTCTGGTGGTCTCCAGCTGCAATTCGGTCTAGATTTCTGAAGCCTTCATCATCTTTAGGCATGTGCGTTTACGGTTAAAAGATAAACATATCGATGTCGAGTGCCTACTGTGGACGGACTCCAAAATTTGGCAGCGCGATGCTCCTTGAGTCGAAGAGTCACGACATAGCAATCGCCTCGTGCTGCGTCGAGCGCGTCATTCTTGTGTTTTGCCAGTGGGAGCTCCTCCAGCTCGTCAAGGCAGTGCCCACCCAAACCGATGGGCGAGGAAGTTCAACAATCGATGAGAACCCTTCCTGCCAAACAGCGTTGCTTTAAGCCTTGGGGGCGGTCAGTCTGGGTCGTAATCTCCAGCTCCACCAGCGGATAGCGTGTGCTGCCGTGATGCAGTATCAAGAAGAGCCAGAACACTCTCAGTGGCCAAACTCGTCATGCACATACTCCAAGGTGCCCCTAGGGTGATGGCACTTGGGGGGAAGTGTCGTCATCAGCCAGCTTTATCTTTTTTTCAGGAGACTCGTTGCACGTTGCCTAGAACAGGAGAACCTTTTGACTCTGTGTGCCTTCAAACCGCCATTATATACAGCAATACGCTAAGCCCTAGAATACTTGGATGCCAACTTGGACGCATTCGTTGATGAGTAGCTTAACAGTGACTATGATGTCCCTTTCAGCTAGCCCTTGCCTGGTGAGCCTTTCCCTTATCTACATGTCCCCCGGTTCCCTGTGGGTGTCACATGTGTCTTAGACACGTATCAATTCGTGGCTCCACGCCCTAACAGCAAATAGCCAATTCAAATTCAAGGTTCTCCCATTCTTATTTTGTATAATATTGTGACCACCCCACACTCTCTTGAGTAAGCAGAGCTGTACATGTTGTCAGCAGTGTTGCGAATAAGGAATCGAGCTACACATTGGTGAGTTTTGCCCCCGTCTCCCCTTTTTTGAAGGCTGCTCACTGGTAGTGCACTTTTCTAGGACTATGATGTCTTGCGCTTAGTGAAACACCCTCTCCAATGCATCTATCCTGCCTTCTGGTATGTATCCAAATTACAACTGGGCCCTCTAACTGCCAGCTGCCTCCAGCCGGGATTCTGTGCTAGATTATGTGTGAGCCAACTTGACGCCATGCAGATCACTGTGTATTAAGTGACACCACATTTGTCGAAATTCCGTGTGCCATTTGCGCAAGCAGGAAGGCATTCTCGATCTTGATAGCAAGTATTCACTTGGCGGCCGCACAAAGACGGGAATCCATTATGTTTGACATCGCAGGGCAAACAAATAAACGAACCCATCATGCCTGAATTATGGGGAGCAGCCAACGGGCCACTCACTCTTTCGATTATTAAAAGTTGGTTGTGCTTGTACAACGGCGACTATACTGCTCCGCTACTGAATAAACCACAGTGGAAGCTAGAGCGAGGAGGGCATGTAGCTGAGCTTTTCCAGGAGACGGCGCACGCAAAGACTGCATCTACGCTAGGTTTTTTCTCCAGGTCGACTTAAGGAGTCTTTAAAAGGTGAGCCGCGATTTGTAATACTCAAAGGTTACCTCTGCTTGCCCCGCAAATACAGCTGCTTCTTACGCCTCAAAGAATCACTTTTCCGGCGAAAATCGGAAAGCGAGCAGCGGGGATGGCGTTGGCTGTAAGTGTAGGCCAGTGTGTACAGTCGAGCAGGCGCTGCAACCTCAGTATAGTGCCATAGAGTAGCTGGCAAAAAGGGGAGAAGCTAATAATTTGTCAGGAACTAAAGCCGGTTGAAAAGAAAAGCACAACACAATCAAACCATTGAGGTAGCGATAGTGTACCTACAACAATGATAGCTCCTCTCAGGGTAGGCAGAATTCTAAAAGCGATTTTGTCCTTCAAACGGTGGTATGGGTAGACGTTCTCAGCCAGCAAAAGAAGAGGCTAAAGCTTGAGGACTGGGCAAGAGATATCCAGTTCAAAGCACTACGAGACGGGGCCCCGGCTTTGAGACAAAAGAAAGAACACAATGTTTCCAGGTCTGGAAAGCAGCTAATGTTGCTGGCGGTGCCTTGGTATCTAATTCATGAGTTGTATTCGATTAAAAGCTAGCTACCTGTAGCATTCGACTTTAGGTACCCGAAGAAAGGCATTCATCTCTAACCTAGAAACAAACCTGCTAGAAAGTTATTGCGCATTTTCAAAAAAAAACAGATTTCCCACTCCTCCTGCCCGCGCCTATCAGGGCTCCGATATGAGGGAATAGGGACGTCTAGCGTCCTGTAGCTGCACCCTCTCTGTAGCGGGCTCGGCTACACTCCCGCACTTTCTAGACTAGAGCTATATTTCACGAGAATACTAAAGAGTTGACTAATTGTTTTGCCTGTGCATAAATCTTATCTATTGCAGGGTGCTGCCACAGTAATACAAGAAGATGGAATGTTGGTTGCCTCTGTGTTTAGTGCTACGCGCAGTTAGATGTAAGCTCTCGGAGTGCAAAGAGGGTGTAGGTACGCGCGCCCTAGCTGTCCCTCGCCCTCCACATAGGGAATGGTGGGCGGCGCAGGCACAAGGAGGCAGGAATTCCTTTGGGAAAACCTAAATAAACTTCTATTATGTTTGTATTGGGTCTTGAACTAAATAGCTCTTCCCATGGAGACCTCAGAAGGAAGGCTATAGTGGGATACAGTATCGCTGGCACGAAGTAGTTTTAGTGCTTCCGTATCAAAATCAAGTAACTATTTTACTCACTCACATGGGTAATCAAGGCTATATGAGACAAGCCAGCCGAGGGTGAAGACATCTTTAGCTCAGAGAAATCGATTGCAGCGACCAGCACTCGCAAGCCAGCGGACACAAGCTTCTAACCAACCAATTGGAATAGCAGCTCGACAATCTAGACAGATGAGAATTAATGTCAAACGTTTTGTTAAATCCAAATAGAAGAGAAACCGCAAGGATGAGGCAGACCAACACCTCAGCACGACAGCAGGCTGAGGCCCAGCGCTAGATACCGCCGATAACTGAAATGAGGTTACAGTTGCACAGTTTTAACACGTAGCTCCATTGAAGTTTAAAAATCACTTAGGAGTAAAGGTACAATATTCTTTAGTGGTTATTGCGTGGGAAAGGCCCTTGCTTGCAGGCTGAGTATGCGGCGGTGCAGCGGCGGCGGCCCGTGCTGACGGTGCTGCTGCCCCTACGCACAGCGTGTTGCGGTGGTGGAGGGGCACTGCGTGCTGGTCTTTGCTCCTTGCACATGCTTTTTCCTTGGAATTTCACAGTTAAGTGCTCCTCCTCGTTGGACACTTGACTCGGGAATTTCATAGTTTTCAGTTTTTCGTTTCGTTAGCTTAAGAGGACCCTTGTGTCTGCACGCCTGCCTGTTCTGCACTCGCCGCCGCCCACCACCACCCCGCGAAAATGAGAGAAGTCATCAGCATCCACGTCGGCCAGGCCGGTATCCAAATCGGCAATGCTTGCTGGTGAGTGCATTGATCTGAAAAGTTAAGCGTGAAACCCGAGACCCGCATTGCACCTGTGTCTCACCAGCCACGCTTGGTTCGCCCGAGGCTGCCTGGACATTGCTGGAGGCTGCTACTGTGCCTATTTCCACGCCGGTTACGCGCTGCGCCCTTTCCTGTTTGTGATATTAATGCAAAGCAAACTACTCTTGTAGCTGGATGATGTAGTATGCACAGTCCATGTGTCAAGGCGCTATCGTGGGCAGTGCCTTGATACGAAGATGACTTTCGCTGCGAAGCCGATACTGTCCATTTTTACCGCACATGCGCCCAATTTCGGACAAAAATATTTTAAATGGGGGCTTGTATGCCACACAGAGCGGACCCCATAAAAAATTCAGTGGTCTTGCATCCCTTTATCCGGAGTTCCCATTTGAGTTGTGGTGTCTGCAGGGAGCTTTTCTGCCTGGAGCACGGCATCCAGCCAGATGGCCAGATGCCCCCTGACCAGAGCATTGGCGGCGGGGATGATGCATTCAACACCTTTTTCTCTGAGACCGGCGCCGGCAAGCACGTGAGTGGCTTTCTCGAGATGTTGGGCAAAGTTTGACCGGTTCGCTTCTTCTTTTGAGTTTAGTCGAATGTCCATCAGCACGAAGGTATCATGAAAATGTGCATGTGGGTCCCTGTTTAAATTCGCAGGTGCCTCGTTGCGTGTTCCTTGACCTCGAGCCTACGGTCGTGGACGAAGTGCGCACTGGCACATACCGTCATCTGTTTCACCCCGAGCAGCTTATTTCTGGAAAGGAGGATGCCGCCAACAACTTTGCCCGCGGTCACTACACCATTGGCAAGGAGATCGTGGATCTTTCCCTCGATCGCATCCGCAAGCTGGCAGACCAGTGCACTGGTCTGCAGGGCTTCCTGATGTTCAACGCCGTGGGTGGTGGCACTGGCTCTGGTCTGGGTTGCCTGCTTCTTGAGCGTCTGTCTGTGGACTACGGCAAGAAAAGCAAGCTCAACTTCTGCTCGTGGCCTTCTCCGCAAGTGTCTACCGCAGTTGTTGAGCCGTACAACTCCGTGCTGTCGACACACTCCCTGTTGGAACATACCGATGTTGCGGTCATGCTTGACAATGAGGCCATCTACGATATCTGCCGCCGAAACCTTGACATTGAGCGGCCAACCTACACCAACCTGAACAGGCTGATTGCTCAGGTCATCTCTTCGCTCACCGCTTCCCTCCGCTTCGATGGTGCGCTGAACGTCGATGTGACGGAATTCCAGACCAATTTGGTGCCCTACCCGCGTATCCACTTCATGTTGTCGTCCTACGCTCCCATCATTTCGGCAGAGAAGGCCTACCATGAACAGCTCTCCGTGGCTGAAATCACCAACAGTGCATTCGAGCCCGCGAGCATGATGGCCAAGTGCGACCCCCGTCACGGGAAGTACATGGCGTGCTGCCTCATGTACAGAGGAGACGTTGTACCGAAGGACGTGAATGCCGCCGTTGCAACCATCAAGACAAAACGCACCATTCAGTTCGTGGATTGGTGCCCTACCGGGTTCAAGTGCGGCATCAACTACCAGCCGCCCACGGTGGTGCCTGGTGGAGACCTCGCGAAGGTCATGAGGGCCGTCTGCATGATCAGCAACAGCACTGCAATCGCAGAAGTCTTCAGCCGCATGGACCATAAGTTCGATCTCATGTACGCAAAACGCGCATTCGTGCACTGGTACGTGGGTGAAGGTATGGAAGAGGGTGAATTCTCAGAGGCTCGCGAGGATCTGGCGGCGCTTGAGAAGGATTACGAGGAGGTAGGCATCGAGACAGCGGAGGGAGAGGCAGAGGAGGAGGGCTACGGCGAGGAGTTTTAAGCGTCTGTAGAGAATCAACGCGGAAGGAACGGGAAGGCGTGGTGGAGGAGGGGGAGGGGAGGCCATCGCGCAATACTTGAAGTATATTTCCCGCGGTTGTGTTACACGCAAGCAGTGCAAACCACGTGGATCCCCCTACGTATAGTACTTGCTTGCTCCCTGAAAGTGCACATTGATTTCGTGAGATCATGTCACTTGGCGCTTTTGCACGTGTAGACGAGGGGTATTATCCCAGTGCGCGCCCTTGCCGCTCCCGTGTGGCCATGGGCTGGGTCGCCACAACGCTCAGTGACATAAAACAGCTTTAGATCTAATTTTGGGAAGTATGTGGTAAGCTGTGGATGATAGCCTGAGCACGTGGGTAGGCTAGACAGAGGGGGTGCAGGTGTTGCGATCATAGCGTCCAACGGTAGGGGTGGCCTTGGTGCAGTGCGTTGCTGCCGGCTTGCGCAAGCACTTGCTTGGCAGCTCTAAAACTAGACAGCGAGCTGCGGTCGGAGGCTAGCACTTCGTGTAACAGGTAGACCGTTAGGAAAGTGATAGACAAAGTAAAGACCTCGGGGGGTTGCGCGTCTGCCTGCCTCTCTGCACCAGCAGTAGTCCATGCGCGGAGCCACTAAAAAGGTGTTCAAAATGCCGTGAGGCTTTCCTCGTCCGACGAGGCGTGGGATTTTCGCAGCAAGCTGCACTCCCCAGGGCAGCGGCGGCACATGATGGAATTCTGCTGCTGCCTGAGCATTTGGAGCCTTCACGGCTTGTCTGGCGCTGCCGCTCGGGCAGCTCTAATGCCTCGAAAGGCCTTGACTCGCTCTAAGGATTTTCGGCAACGAGCATCCCGCGGGCTTTTAGGGCCTTGCGGAGGGAGAGGATCTGTTGTCTCTGCGCCTGATCGAGCGTTGCTAGGTCGGCTAGGCGCATTTGAAGTACCCTAAAAGGAAATACAACGAAGTTGGTCTAGGGGATGGATGCCGTGCGATGCTTCGAAGGAGCGGATTTTCGTCTCTGGTATAACATGGAGGCACCGGAATTCGCCTCACGGAATCTCCTCTGGGTTTTGCAATACTGCAAAGGGCAAAATGGGAGGAGAGGGCTAAACCAAAAAAGGCAGCTGCAAGCACAGACCACAACAGGACGTACTTGTGCAGGAGGCCTTGCGACCTCAAGAGCTCCTCCACAAGAGTGTCTGGGGGAAGAGGGGCCCTAGCCTCTTCTGCTGCGATCCACGCCAAAGATGAGTCCACGGCGGTTTGCGGTGGCTTTGTCGCCGCACTGCCGTCCTGTCGCACACGTTTGCTGTCCTCTGCCCCTGTTTCTTCCGCAGACGGCCCTCCACCCGCCTTTTCCTCACTATCCGCTTCGAGCTTCCGCTTTTGCCGCGGAGCCGCTCCGCCCGAAGGTGCTTCCCCCTCCCCGAAGGCGTTCACGGAAGGCCCAGGGGTAACTGGCGAGAGGGCTGAGGCTCCAGTCCCCCTGACGCCTCCCTGCAGGTCGTGGCTTTGAGAGAGGCTCCAGTTGGGAAAGCCTCCGGCAGGAGCGCTCAGCTTCCCGCGAGAATCTGCTGCTGCCTGCACGGGAAGCGTTCTGGTCGCCGTCGAAGGCCTCCAAGCCGTTGCAGCCCTGAGGAGAACCTCTTCTGACAAGACACACAGAGGAGAGCGAGAGAAAAGCAAAGCCTCGGCGCACTCGCGAGCGAAACGCAGAGAAAATCCCGCTTGTGCTCCGCATCGCGCCAAGCTGTCCCTACACTGCCCGTTGGAGGCCCCTGGGGTTGCCGGGTAGAAGGCCAGGGGCCGCCTCCTCCGTTCACAAGGTGAGTGGTGCCTTGCGCAAATACGCAGGCAGTGCGCGAATTGCATGAATGCATTCGAGAAAAAACTGCGGCTCACGTCTTTTCTGTCGCGGGGCATGGGAAGATGATGAAACTGCTGGAGCCTTCAAAGCCGCCGGTTGAGGACCCACGTCAGTCAGCGCCTGCAAGGCAGGCGGTCGCAGAGCACGGCATTCGAGCAACAGGCGCTGTGTCGCAGCTGCTTCTGCCCGCTTCACTGTTGCTGCCGAGACATCCTGCAGGGTGCAAACACACACACCACCACGAAGCACACCCCCGCTGCAACTGTGCAAGCGATGCACGGGATTTGCGAGGCAGAGTGCTACTCTCTACGCAAGCGGCTTGGGGGGAATTTTCCACGTGCAACCGACGTACTCCGAGACTCAGTCGGTCGTGCCTGCCGAGAAGGAGCTGCGCCTGCAACAGTGCAGCCCTCAGAAGAGGCCCCTCCTGTAGAAGCTGCTGCATCAAAGACCCACTGGACGGCAGCAGCAGCCGCAGCTCCTCAAGCATTTGATCAAGATCACCCAGAGTGATTCCCTCCGCCGCCTGCAGATCAGGGATATGCACAGGGACGGCCCCAGCGCCGACACGGTGTCACTACACACCACCAAGGGAAGGATACGGCGCACAATCGCGCCGTAGATATAGATATAGGTTTCTACATATCCCCTCCTTGAATACATTCCTTAGCATGCTGTGAAAATATTGTCTCATGGGCGATTTCTGGAACGGTTTAAGCTGCGAACACTGCCCCTTCCCCTCCGGCCCCCCCCTCCCCCCTCTCCAACCCTTCACTGTCTAGCCCGTCCTGTTCTCGCGTCACCCTTGTCGCCGCATGCAGGGGCAGGCGGATGAACAGAAACAGCAACGGGAGAAGGCGCAAAGAGAAAATAAGACGCAGAAAGAAACACCTACTGCCACAGCAGCCGCCGTTAAACATCCCTCAGAATCGAAGAGTTCAATCGTTGCCGAAGAAGACCCGTCTGTCAAAGCGTCTCTTTGAATTCCCCCCCCTTGAGTGGCCACCAGCGGAAACTTGCGGCGTTGCGGCTGCTCGCACCAGTCCACGCGAACGCTTCTTCCTGCTCCTCAGACAGCAAAGCGCACTTAGCAGGGCGGAAGCATTAGCGAGGCTAGAGCGAGACATAGAGAGAAACACACGCGGGAGGGGTTTGGCAGCGGTCGGCGGCAAGGGTTCCCTCAGGTGCAGCTGCATAAACAAAAGCAGCGAGTGGGGGGAGCGCCGCATGCGTAAAAATGCGCGCGCAGGCTACAAAATCGGCCGCGAGCAGAGGGGCCCCTTGCAGGGCAGAAAGAAATCTCGCAAGACGGCGTCAGCCAGGAGTGCGTAGCTACAGTCGCCGCATGGGCTGCCGCCGTCGCCATCTGGCAGGAGGGCGGGGGGGGGAAGAGGCCTCAGTTGAACGCTGGGCGTAAGCCAACGGGGAAGGGCAGAAGGACGAATGACCTCTCCAGGAGGTAGAGCAGTGCAGCACATGCAGCGTCTGATGCCCGTATTACACTGCCTTTCAGGGGCAGCTGTGAAACGAGAGGCGACAACAAGGCAATCACCACTGCAAAGGGGGCCTCCAGCCGCCGCCCTCTCCCCATAAGAAAGAGGCCCCTTCGGATCTGTGTGTCTGGAGAGCTTGCCTCTGAGCTCGAAGCCTTGAAGCCTTTCCATTCCACGCAAAGCGCATTCTTCGCTCGCGAACTCCACGTATCCATGGCCCCTGCTGCGCTGCGTGTCGGGGGCCCTCCGTATCCTGCACAGCAGCAGCGGCGATTCGAAAGGCAGCAGTGCCCTGTTAGAGTATCACCCAAAGCAATAGAAGCGGCGGCGAGGGAGGGGGGAAGGGGCGCATGCACATAGGAAGAAGGAGGAGAAACAGCGAAAAAAATGCCAGCACCGTTGAAAAGGGGGCCTTCGCGAATCCCACGCCGCGCCATGCGGCCCTAAGAACTCCTGAGCGTCTTTCATATGGCGCATAGAGAAGCAAGTAAGCCTAGAAAGACTAGTATCACCATGCATGTCGACAGGCTTTCGAGCTTACCCCACATAGAGGACCCCTGGGCAGCCCTGCAGCGCCTGCGAGATGTGGGCCTCCGTCACATCGTATGCCAAGTTGCCTACTGAGAAGCGAAAACACGCAGCAGCAGAAAGGGCACGCCGCATCCATACTGAGAAGCGCAGGAGGGAGGCAGTAGATGCTCCCCTTGGGGGCTGTCGTGCGGGAAATGCAGCTAAGGAAATCCGGCCGCACAAGTGGGCCCCTCGCGGCTGGCAGAGCCAAGCGGCATGCCCTCTACTCTGCTACAAGCGCCTCCACAGCTGCAGAGCTGAGGGATCGCGCGCATTCGCCTCGTCACGTGAACGTGAACTCGGGGAAGAGGCACCGAGGGCACGCAGCAGGCGAGCAGGCAGCTGACTGGCGTGCTACTGCCGAGTGACTTTTACGCGCAAGAGGCACTACGGGAGCTGCAGCGAGCGTCGGAGTGTACGTACAGAAGAGCCGAGCGCCCCTTTCGGGGACACGAACACCTTGTGCCAGCATAGGCGGCCCCTTGGTGGCGCAAGGCGGGAAATCCACAGTCCTAGACCTCCCTCACAGGAGGAGGACAGCGCCTTTCAGACGCAGCACAAGGCCTGCATATGTTGAAACTGTGGCTGAACACGCTGCATTTAGAAGTCGCTGATGCCTCATGGGCTTCGGAAGGCGCAGGCGGATTCAAGTTCGTGGACACTGCAGTGCCGGCTCCTGCGCTCCGACAGAGCCTCCTATGGCGAACGGCAGCGAACGGGAAAATGCAAAATGCACAAGACACACACACAGAGGAGCCGAGGCTACTTTTATGCATGTCGTGCGGGGCGGTGGTGCGCTGCTGCCCTTCCAGGGAGGCGACCAGAGGGGGCCGGAGGGGGAGGGAGGGAGGGGCCCCAGGAAGAACACTCGAGTCACACCCGACAGCCGCGGCAATTGTGTGCCCTAAGGGACTTTTTAAATCTCTTCCCGTCTTCATGAAGACGCACACGGGCGACAACTTGCTTCTTTCCCTCCAATTTTCGAAGGGCCTCATCAAGGGGCCCCCGATGTTCGCTGTACGGGATGCCCTCGCATGAGGCGTTGCGCCAGATGCTCAGGCCACCCCCTGTCTTCCTCCAGGGGTC